CGTGTGTCAATCAATTGACCTCTTTTGTAATTTGGCAGTAGGTATTACACGCTACGTCATCAAAACTACCCTGTAAATTTACATGTATGAATTCGGCTCAACCTTTGATTTTCTTTGATTAGTGCCGCGCTGATAAAGATAAAAGGTGAGCAGAATCATTCAAAGTGGATTATGCATCCCAATGTATACGGTTTATAACATGTAAATAGAAACCAACATAAATAATAGACAGCCCACATTGAATTGGTCAGAAAACGTTCCTGACATGCCTTCTTCGCAAGTATGCGAACTCTACAGTTAAAGGTAATATTTTAATAATTTTTTAGTTATACTAAATATTAGATTGACCTGTTATAAAAGACGGTAACTACTATAAACGTCTTGGCCAATTTTAAAATAAGTGCTTTTTAATAATTTAATTTTAGAATTCTTAATCTTAGTATGGGATTGCCCCATCTTCCTCCCATGGCAGAGGTTGTACGTAGAGACTACCCTGTCATGGGGGATATGGTATGCACATAAACACATGTACGGATATAACAATAAGTAATTAAACATCAGCTCCCCCTTTTTAAAAGGTTATAAATGAAGTATATGCTCGCCCATATGGTCTCTTTCCGGTGGCGAGGGTAAACAAACCCAAACACACACACTCAAAGTGGATCATTCAAAAACCTGTTCGAGATGTCTAATTAACCTATTTTTAGTGAGTGGGTAATTTTTTTGTTCTGTTTAGGAATTACACTATCATCGAGGCAAAAATGTGGATTTAATTAACGGAACGATTCTTGTATTTATTTTGAGTCTTCTACTTATGTTACGTTATTTAACTGTCAGAGTCTTATGTTCATGAATAGTTGTTGTACGTTTTCAAATAGCTTGTAGACAATTATTGAATGACTGAAAAGACAGATATAATTCTTCAAACTGAAAATAATGAAATGTGAAAATGTGACTGTTTTGAAATAGACTGTATGACTACACTTATTTATCTGTTTATTTATCTATTCATTTATTTTTTGGTGAAATAAATTAATATTGATCCACAAAAAATCATAAAAAGTATAACCATTTAATGATTTTGAGTGTAATATAGATTCTTTGAATCAAATGTGCCAAACACGCTTAGAAATTCAAGTCGATAAAAAAATCCAGTTTTGAGCCTCAAAATCCAGCTGAAAATCCAGATTTGGCCCATTTCATTTGTCACATGTATGTTAATACAATTTATTAACTAAAAAATATTTTCTAGTAATTATGAAAAAGGTAAATTATAAAGCTGTTTAAACACCATAATTGTGATTTAACAACTTGTAAAATGTGTTAAGTTTTACAGTTCTTATTATTCTCAGTAAAAGTTTGTGTAACTTAATGGCTTTCATATCTACATTATAAGTGTTTAAATTGTTCATTATAAAGTGTTGGTATCTTTGTGCCAAATGGGCTATTAAGTTACTGCTTCACTATAAAGGTTACAAATGTAGGTACTTAAAAAAGTTTGTGTATCAGTAAATAAGGTTGTAAAAGTACCTTAATCGCCACCTTGGTAAAGTTACTAACCACTTGGAAAATTTACACCATGTTGGTAATTTAAATTAGGGTATTTCTAAACATAAAAAGGTTAAGTTCCTCAATCACCATGTTGGTGATATAACTATAGTATTTAAAAACTTGTCTATTAAATTACATATGTATAATTATTGTTATGTTCCTCAGGATCACTTATGTTGGTGAAATATTTCAGTTTGTAAAATAGTAAATAAAAAGTAATTCTAATTTGGAATAGTGTTAAAAAGTAAATTATAATTACGTGTTATTAGGTAAATTTTTAGTAAAGTGTTTTAAAATAAACTTTAGGAAAGTGTTAGTAAGTAAACTTAGGTAAAGTGTAAGTAAGTGCATTATAAGTAATGTGTTAATATAATAAACAATAATTCATAACACTTATTATAAAAAAGTAAATTTTCTATATTGTCTTAGCAAGTTATAGTAAATGTTAAAAAAAAGCTTTTGTGCATGCATTAATGTAAATAACTTTATAAATGTAAAAGATAGTAAATAAAATTTCAATTAAATAAACACCTTTTTGTTTTATTTGTTTATATAAATAAGTATCTAAATCTGGTACTAAACAAATCCCAAAAACTAAGCATCTTGTTAAGGTAAATTAATTAACTTTTCATATCACATGCCCAATTTGCCGGCAGAATCGCTTCAGAAACATAACCTTAATGATTCTATGCTGCTAAACTAATAAATCTGAATAGTAGCAAGCCCTGTTTTAATTTATATCAACAATAATAAAGATCTAATAATTCACAATGGCTGCCACTTAAAACAAAGAAAAGATATTACTTAATTGATCTTAATTAATTCTGCAAAAAGAAATTACTAAAATTACTTACAAATTAATCAAAAATTAATATAATTTCAGTGAATTTAGATAATCTCTAAGGTTTATTTAAATGCCAAAGTGCCTAAATAAATTAAATAATTAATTAACCTTGGAGCTTTTAGAGATGTTACTTTTCCAAAAATTAGCAGTAGAATGTCAAAATTTCCTGAGATGCCTGGTTAAATGAACTTCTGCATCCCAGAGGGAGCTAGCATTTACATACAGGTTCCACTGTATGTAACAACTTATCTAATTGGTCAAATTACAGCCAACCAGAATTAACTTAACAAAATTTAATGCACTACGCTCAGTTCGTTCTTTACATAACTATTTTAAAAATAGATTATGAATTATGGAAAAGTTTAACATGAAATAATTTTAACATTTTTCTGCAAAAGATGATAATTATGACCATTTATACAAAGTAATCAAAAGAATCAAAATACTTAAGGTATTAGCACCCTAATGCATTACCTCCGCTTTGAAGAGTATTCAAATAGGCTAGAACTACTGTTAACTACATTGAAAATGAGGGCCATGGGTTCAATCCCCAGAAGGGTCAACTTTTTTTTTCTTTCTTTTTTTCTTTTAACATTATTTATGTATCTCTCATGTCCCATTTGGAAAGAAAAAAGTGTTTAATTTTGATTTTTTAATTTATATAGGTATTTATTGGCTAAATTATGCTAAATATAGTAATAAATATGGTACCTGATATTTTCAAAGTGTAATATAATCAAAACTAGACGGTAAAAGTATTTCATATTTTACAAGATCAACCAATATACTTTTTTAAAAATTTAGGGAAACTTTGAAAACAGTCACTCATTTGGGTAAATTTTAAGAATTTTTTAAATTAGGCTCCCTAAGTAGAAAAATGGTCAGACACGTGGTAAAAATGGGTGGGGTAGGGTAACATTTTTATACAGATTTCATAAATTTTAAGTAGAAACCATAATTTTGCTTATTTGAATTGTTAGCTGAATGGTACTATTTGTTTCTTACCAAAAATTAATGGGAAAACATTTTTCATTAGAATGTTATTGCAGATTATTTAAAGGTTCCTACTTTCTAAAAAAGGGCCCTCATAACATCCTAGCTTGAGTTCAGAAAAGTGGCCATAACTTGATTTCCGTACGGTAAACTTTGTTTAAATTTTGCATACAGGTGTACTTTAAGGTATATATCTGACTTATGATGTCAATTTTTTAGTACCTGATAGTGCCCATTAGGGTCCTAATACCTTAACTAAGAAACTAAACATATTTATAAACATATATGCATCAGTCAAACTTGTATCTCACCATGTTTAACCTTTTACCCCATGAGCATATTGCGAAAAATGGCTGCTTTTATTGAAAAGCCTCCTGTAACATTTTTAGTTCAAACTGCTATGAAACTATAGACAATGCTTCAATACTGATGAAACTTGGCACAAATGTTGACTAGACCATAGCCTCTGTAACAGCATGCTCAATCAAAAATTTCCTGTTACCATGGCAACGGGGGGACGTCTCAAAATTGCCAAAAATAAGTAAGTAAGTAAGTAAGTAAGTAAGTAAAGGCTTTATTTATCGAGGCTACACATTTGGTTTCCCAATCTTCCATGTGGGCCTCTAAGAAAAACATAATTTACAATATATACAACTACAATATAACAGAAATAATTGCAACAACATTGTAGTACAATGTACATTGAAATTATCAGAACAAGAAATACATGTTAATAATTTACAGTCCATTCATAGCATAATACATGTCAAAGAAGTACATATCAAATTAAACAAAGTGGGAAATATGTTTTAGTTGGTACATCAAATGATAAGATTCTAATTTTGTTATAAAATGATTAATTTAATGATGAAAAATGCCAGGATAGATATGAAGCTTGAAATTCCTGAACTGTTTTCGATTTTCTTATGTTAAGAGGGATATTATTCCATAATTTAGGGCCAGAGTATACTAGGGATTTTCTGAAAAATTCTTTCTTAGGTCGTGGAACAGCTAGGTCTGAACTATTTGTAGATCTTAAGTTGCGCTCATGTTTTTGGTAAACAAATTGGAATTTACTTTGCATGTATTGTGGATATGGTAGGTCATTGATAGATTTAAACATTATGATTGCTTTTTTGTATATCATTCTGTCATCAAATCTCATCCAATTTAGTTCTTTAAACAAATCACTGGAGGGTGCATCGAAACTTTTATCTAGAATTATTCTTGCTGCTCTTTTTTGGAATTTTATGATTTCATTGATCAGATCATTGCTGCAATTGCCCCAGATAGTACAGCAATAATCTAAGTGTGGTAATATGTATGAGTTAAAGAATAGTTTTCTTGCATGTAAGTCTAGGTATTGCTTGATTCTGAGAAGTAGGTATAACTGAGAGTTGCATTTTTTAAGTATCATTTCTATTTGGATTTTCCATTTTAGTTTACTATCGACAAAAACACCTAGTAACTTTTCGGTTTCAGAAAATTGGATCATTTGATCTTGAAGGTGTAAAGGTGGTAAATGAAGCTGTGTATTATTTGATGTAAGGTGCATTGCCTTTGTTTTCTGTGTATTTAAGACCATTGCATTTTGTATGCACCATTTGTTTACATGTTTGAGGTTGGTTTGAAGTTTATCATGTAGTTCTTGTGGTGAATGTCCTGATGCTGTAAGTGTGGTGTCATCTGCAAACATGTCTATTTCTGAGGTCTCTAAATGAAGTGGGAGATCATTGATGTATATAATGAAAAGCAGGGGCCCAAGGACAGATCCTTGGGGAACACCTGATATAACTTCTGCAGATTCTGACAGTTTACCTGATACACTGACTTTCTGTGTTCTGTTTGCAAGATATGATGAAAACCATTTAATTGTATGATAAGAACAATGGTAATAATGCAAGTTTCTGAATAAGAATTTTATGGTTTACAAGGTCAAATGCTTTGGTTAGGTCAAGAAAAATTGTGCCAACTAGTTCTCCATTATTTATTGCATTTATCCAATTGTCAACTATGTTTGTTAATGCTGTTTCACAAGAGTGCTTGGTTCTGAATCCTGACTGGGCCTTAAAAATAAACTTATGAGTTTCTAGAAATTGTTTTAGATGATCAGATACATGCTTTTCAAATATTTTAGAAATGAGTGGAAGTACAGATATTGGTCGGTAATTATTTTTATCAGAATTTTGTCCTTTTTTAAAAATGGGTGTAACTTTTGATTGTTTTAATTTGGTAGGAAACTTTCCTGTTTGAATACTTAAATTGATAATAGTTGATAAAGGTCTATATATTACAGAAGATGCAGTTTTTAGAAATCTACCACTGATTCCATCGAGCCCAGTGGCCTTTTTGACATCAAGTGAGTCTAATGTTTTTTTAACATGATCCGGTTCAATTGGTGGTATCACAAATTCTGGAACATCTAAGTTAACTTTACCTTCTAACATTTCTTTTAAAATAGATTCATTTGCTTTATTCAGTGCTGAAATATTTCCTGATTTTTTAAATACGTTTGAAAAGAAAGTATTGAATATTTCTGCAGTTTCTTTTGGGTCAGAGACTGGATTTCCATTGTCATCATTTATATAGTTTGTTTGGAAGTTGTGAGTTTTGCCAGATAGTGCTTTTAGGTTCTTCCATAATTTTTTAGGATTTTTATTCTGTGAATTTATTTCTTGATTAAAGAAGTCTTTTTTTGATTGATGTGATAGTATTTTAACTTGTGATCTCCAGTATTTGAATTCTTCTGTTTTCTTTTTCTTTTTTGCATAATCTCTCATATGAATTGCATTGGCTATTTCATCTGTGAACCATTCATTCTGGTTTTTGTGTTTTACTCGTTTTTGTCTATATGGTGCATGTGAATCAAGAACTTTTAAAAATAAGTCATAAAATGTGTCAAGAGCATCATCTGGTTCAGTAAATACATCAATCAATGTCCATGGTTGATTACTTAGATCAGCTAAAAAATGTTCTGCATTAAATTGCTTTAAATATCTATAATTGATAGTAAGATGTAATGGGCCTTTTTTAATTTTTTCCTTAGTTTTACGGGTAAAAACAATGGGGAAATGGTCACTTATTGAAAGAATTGGGATCTTAATATCACATATATTTTGAGGCTGATTTGTGTAGAGATGGTCAATGATAGTTGAGGATGTTTGTGTGACTCTAGTAGGTTGTGTTATAAGTTGATTTAAATTGAATGTACTTATTGTATTATTCCATTTTGAATTAACTGAAATAGAGTTAATAAAATTGTAGTTAAAATCGCCAAAGAGAATAATTTCTTTGTTTTCAACGTATAAGGTTTCTAATACTTTTTCAATTTCTTCAATCCATGAATTAAGTGATGAAGGGGGCCTATAGATATATCCTACAATAAAAGGTTTTTGTTTTTCAAGCTTCATTTCTATCCATATTGCTTCAATATCACTGGAATTAAGGTCTGTTCTAATTTCACAATGTAAGTTTGATTTTACATATAAAACTATTCCTCCCCCATTCGACTGTCTATCATGCCTGAAAAGTTGATAATTTTTTAAACTAATTTCATTGTTTGAGAAAGCATCACTGAGAAAGGTTTCTTGTAATCCAAGAATGTCAATATCCGGGAGTTTATCAACTAGAAACTGTATTTCACTGAATTTTGGGTATAAATAATGTATATTGAGATGCATAAAGTTAAGTCCATTTTTGTCAAATTTTAAGTCTTGGAGTTTTAAGTCTTGATTTGATGAGTCCAGATTGTTATTACTTATTTTAAGAGGAAATTTTTTTTCATGACTATTTTCATTTTCTAGATGAGTATGTAAAGATGTAGAATCATTAAGAGCTTCAAAATGGAGTTTGTCACCGATTCCACTTTGTACAGTTAGTATGGTGCATGATGCACTGGTGTCCATGGATATGGCCTCTGCATCCATATTGGCATCCTTCTGTTGAAATTGTGTTGGGGAATCCTGTTGTGACCTTGATATTGTTGTCTCCTCTGATGTTGGTGTCTGTTGTTCCAATAAGATTGATGTGGTGGTATTCTGTGACGGTTGTCCCTGGGAAAATTTCCAGCTGACTGTGCTGGAGAACCTCTGATGTTTAGGGTAGATTTAATGGCTGCCATAATTTGCCCTCCAAGCACAGCACCACCAGATTTGTTAAGGTGGACTTCGTCATAGTACAGCCTTTCATTGATGTTTTCATCCGTTGTAAATGATTGTGTATTGTCCACAAATGTGTAACCGTTTGTTTCACATAGTCCCTTAATTTCATAGTTTACTGTTTTAATGACTTGTAAAGAGAGTTTGTCTTTTCTTTTTGGTAGAATAGACGAAAGGATGAATTTTGCTTTCTTGTTGATTGAATAAAGTGTAGCTATAAGGTCTGTTAGTTCTTGTATAATGGTTGTAGGGCTGTCAGCATTAGAGATATTGTTTATTCCTGCATGTATAACAAATACATCAGAGTCCTTTAAATTTGTTGTCTTTTCTAGGGATCCAATATTGTTTTTAATATCACAAAGTTTTGCACCTGACTTTGAGCGAATCTGAACATTAGTATTTCTGTCCATCATTTTTTGTGAACTTAGTACTTTGGTAACTGAGTCACCAAGTATTAATATATTATGCTTGTCTTGAGATTCTTGTTTAGATATTTCACTGCTTTGGTTTTGATTTCTTTGAGTTTCACAGCAGGTTTCTTGTTTTTGGTCATCTTTCTTTTCATCAAAGTGACTAAGGCCAGGACTTGGTATGGATGATGTTTGATGCTGATTATTTTTGTTATTTCTCATTTTAGCTTGAAGGAAGTAGATGTCTGTACTTGACGGCATATTTTCTGTCCTTTTCAAAACCTTGTTCAGCGTTTCTGAAAAATTTGAAAGTTTTTCTTTCATTTCTGACACATCATTTTGCAGGGCATCAGTATTTTGCATTGTTTTTTCCATCAAAACTGATTTCAATGTGCTGCAACTTCTCCATGAATTGAGATAGAATACCCCAAGATCGACCTGAGGCCATTTTTAGCCTGTTACATGTTCAAAATTTTATTGGCGATGAGGGGGACTGCCCCCCTTCAAACCCCCAAACAAAAGGGGGCACATCTCCCTTCTGGCAACCCCCTGATGTAACAATTGGATGGGGGACGGTGCCGAAAAAGTGGTCACTTTTTTTAACAACATTTCTCAAACGAAAAACAGTGTTTGTGGGCCTAAATAGGGCATTTTTTCAATGTTTGAGGCCTCAAAAAAGGGGGGGGGGGCAAAAAGTCGTCGAAACACACTTATATAAGGGAAAAGGTTAAAGATCAGTGTATGTGAAAGTAGAACCATTTCTTTACTTAGAATATAACTATATAAAGGCCATGCTAAGTGACTGTAAAACAATGTTAGTTCTACAATGTAACTCAATAAAATTATATTCAACATTGAACTAGTGAATGATGAGAATGAAATGTCTATAAAACAATGCATGTTCAATATGATTAAACTTTAAAATAAACTTAATTCTCAGTTAAAGTTTAAACCCTTAATATTACTTCAAAAATATATATGAAGATTATATAATTAATTATGCTATACTTCTTGTGATATATTATGCAATATTATGTAATAATTGTATAACCTGTTGTAGTTCAGGAATCCAACTTTACAACAACTTTAAACGATATCTCCTCATAAACCACTATACCAATTTCATCCAAACTTCACAAGAATGTTCCTTTAGTCGTCATCTTTAAAAATTGCTTAAAGAATTTAATTCTATGCAAAACTCTGGTTGCCATAGCAACCGAAAGTAAAAACTTAAAATATCCTCTTTTAAGAAACGCAAAGTGCTAAAACTTAGATATCTGGCATGAAAATCTTCTAGTGAGTGTCTACCAAGTTTGTTCAAATAACAGCCCTGGGGTCAAAATGGCCCCACCCCGGGGGGTCATTGGTTTTCCTTACATGTATATATTAAAAACTTAAAAAATCTTCTTTTAAAAAACCCAAAGAGCCAGAGCTTAGATATTAAGCATGAAACATCGTCTTATGGGTGTCTAACAAGTTAAAAGCCTTGGGGTCAAAATTCGCCCCACCCCAGGGGGTCATTGATTTTCATTATATGTTTATAATAAAATAAAAAAAGGCTTCTTTTAAAAAAACACAATTATACATGTATTCTGACTCAGGTGAGCGATTAAGGCCACCATGGCTGTCTTGTTTTTTTATTATCAGCACCTTAAAGAAAATATAAACCCTAAGTTTTTCTAAATATTTAACTCTTAAAGAATTATGTCAACCCTGTCCTTGAACATTACAATCAATCCTGTTTTCCCAAAAACACCTGCATGTAAGGACAGAACATCAAGTTAACCTACCATATAATTATGTTATCTATAAATATCTGCTATATAAAACAAAAAGCCAACCCTATCTCTGTGTCTACCTCTAGAACAGTAGAATGTATATAATTTCTCCAGACAGTTCTAAAACCTGGGTTTTGCCTGCATGCCAGTGCTTCAAAACAACATTGTCAACCATATGCGTTCTCGTGCAGGATATCTGCTTCTCAAAAAACATACATACTCTTTGTTTTAATACCTGCCCAAAAAACCAGAAGAGCGGAACTTACATTTTTCACTTAATATCTGCAACCTAAACAACGTCTCAAGTATCTGAAATACAGTCAACAATAACTGTCAACCTGGTGTGTCCTCTTATCAAGTGAGACTATAAAAAGGTTTGGAGCACCACACTTAATGCCATGGATCTATGCTGGTCGCAAACCCATTATGTTGGTTTTGTCGTGACGCGGCTCAATTCAGTCTACCAAGTGTTTTAAGTGAATTGAAACAAATTAGAGAATACTTTGTTATTGAGCATTGTTCTAAATATTTCTGGTTTTTCGGTATGTTAATCTGCCTTTCAACAGTACAAATGTCTGCTTTTAAAACAGTAAACACAGTGTTTACTCTAAATATCTGCCATATTAAACAGAAGGCAAACACTATTTTTTTTCTGTAAATAACAATTCCTAACACAGCACACTCAACCCCATGTTTTTTTTAATTATCTGCATATACACAAAAACAAAGCCTAATGCTATTCCTAAATATTTGTCTCTGAAAGAAAAAGTCATTCCTATATTTATACCCCAACTTCCAACTTGGAGATTGCTATATTGCAACCATACTGTCATTTCTGTCAGTTTTTCAATCAGTCCGTCCGTCTCCACCTTGTTGCTCTACAAACACTCATCCCTTTGAAAGATTTTCTTAAAGAAACTCCACTGAGGTTTAAAAGCCTAAAAAACATAACATTAGAATTTCTTACATAAATGATCTGGGGCGCATTAAACAGAAATATATGCAAAGATAGTTAAGAAACATACCTTAAAATAAATCGAAAATCGTAGTTTTATGCTTTTCTTAGCCTAATTTGAGTGAAAAGGGCATTTAAAGGCTTTTCATTTTTGGTCATTTCTTTACAATTTGAATAATTATTATGGAAAAATGAAGAGCGCGAATGATCTGAAAGTTTGCACAAAGAGTTGTCGTCTACACCTACATCAAATGGTACATTTATCTGGAAAAAAATATTTTCAGTCCCATCATGTCAAAAAACCTCAGTGTGGTGGTCCCTTTAAAACTTGGCTTTAAGTGTTAAACCCATGGCGCTACTGTGCCCGTTGAAAATTAAAGCATTCTTGAAGCCAAATTCAATTTTCGCTCTATAAATTCTATACCCATTGAAGGATTTTCATTTTATGTGGTTTAAATAATCATCACAACAAAACAAGGTGCAGAACTCCAACCTCCGAGGTTAAGGCTACCATAGAAAATCAAAATTCAGTACTTGTTGTGTCTTTACGTTTTTAAACATAGATAAAATGTTTTAATGTCACTTTAGGAACTAAATATGCTTATACTGACTCTTTAAGGTCAGATGTCTTAAATTTTGTGACTGCTCTATAAATTCAGTACCACAAGAAAGCATTTGCTTTTAATTTGGCTGAAAAGTTTCTCTCAAAAAGGCAATGATTGTGCAGAACTAAATATGCCACAGGTTTGCTGGTTCAAGGTCAAGGTCACCCTTGAAATTCAAATGTCTTACAATTTCGTGTCCTTTCTCTAAAATGTAAAACAAATACCCCTTGAATGATTCGCTTTAAACTTGGCTTTGTTGTTCACCTCAACAAATCAATATGCAGAACCCATGCCTATGATTATCTTGCACAAGTTCAAGGTCACCCTTGAAAGTCAAATGTCCTAAAATTAAGTGCTGCTCTATAAATCTCTTCCCACCTGAAGGATTTAACTGAAACTGTAACTGCACATTTCAACAAGGCAATAAGCAGAATCCATACTTCTTTTGTGCCATCTCTAGGTCAACGTCATCCTTGAAGGTCAAATTTCAGATAATTTTGGGTCTGCCCTTTAAACCCTTTAACTCTTGGAGATTTTTCTTTAATCATTTAAATGTTAACCTCAACAAGGTAATGCATAGAACCTTTTTTCTTATACTTCCCATTTAAAAATACACTCTCCTTCTAAACCAGTAATAATGTCCACCTTACATTCACAGGACAGCTTGCAATACCTTTCTCATTTTCTTATTATTTATTTTCCTATTATTTAATATTCTTCAGCCTTGTGATTATTTATAATTGGTCAGCCTTGTGTTGTCTTTAATACCTGCCAC